GGGAAGACGTGTTGGTAGGATTGAGGAGGTCCTCTAAGTATTCCGCCCACCGACCCACAACATCCTGAGTTGAGGTCAGCAGCGCACCATCCCTGCCATAAATAGTGTTGGTGGTGAACACCCCCCCCGCCCCCCGAGACGCCGGATGGTGGACCAGAATCACCTCGAAGCCGTACAGAAGTCTTTTTCCATGGCCTCTCCAAACTCCTCCCATGCCTGAGTTTTTGCCTCAGTGACCACCCGAGCCGCAATCCGCTTGGACTGCCGATACCACAGCACCCCCTCCAAGGACTCCGGAAAGGGTGGGTAATCTGAACTGCTGTTAGGCTCATAGGCACAAACAACAGTCAGGACCCATCCCCCCACCCATAGGTGGAGGGAGGCTACCCTCTCATTCACCCCTACGTACAGGAATCAAGATGGGGGCAATGAGTATGCCCACTCCTGTTCAGCACCTCTCAGCATGGGCAACTCCAGAGTGGAAGAGTGTCCAACCCCTCTGGAGGAGACTGGTTCCAGAGCCAGAGCGGTGTGTCGAGGTGAGTCCAACTATATCTAGTCAGAACCTCTCAGCCTCACACACCAGCTCAGGCTCCTTCCCMACCAGAGAGGTGATATTCCACGTCCCTAGAGCCAGCTTCTGTAGCTGAGGATCGGACCTCCAAGGTCCTCGCCTTCAACCACTGCCCARCACACATTGTACCTGACCCCTACGGCCCCTCCCACAGGTGGTGAGCCCATGGGAAGGGGGACCCATGTCTCCTCTTCGGGCTGTGCCTAACTGGGCTCCATGGGTGAAAGCCTGGCCACCAGGGCCCCACCTCCAGGCCTGGCTCCAGAGTGGGGCCCTGGTGACCCACGTCCGGGCGAGGGAACACTGAATCCATCCATTAAAATAAGGTCTTGTTCTTGAATGTCTTCCTTATTAAAATCATTCTACAAGAGAACAAACAAATTATCATATTATAAACCTACTAATTCACCTGCTGAATATATAAAAGTTTGGATTGGACTGAAATGTACTTGGATTACTGTAAATAATCCACATGGATTCCACATCGTTTGCATGAGCACCGAATGATTTGATCCAATCATGACGAGCGTTTACATTTACAGGCTTTTATTCAGAGTAGAAGTACTGACATGTGCAGAGTTGTAATTTTCCCTAAAAACACACAGACGTTGTGTCTCTGTGATGATAGACAAACATCCAACATTTCTGCATTCCCTGATTGAACTGCAGGTGAAGCAGTTTATTTTATTTTTCTGTTTGTCTCACCCATTTGTGYTTGAATGTCTTGTATTATATTAGATTTATATTTTTATTGTGCTTGATAATGAGATTAAGGACCCCTCAGAAATTAGATGGTATATCTCAAAGGGGTTATCCTTGAAATAAATAACAAACTAATGTGTTATTTCTTATAACTTGTGTCTGATTTGACTTTTAGTTTGGAGGCAAGGAGGTCCTGCAGCATGCAATTCCACAGGTGTTGCATCAAAACCTGCCAAGCAAGGTAAGATCAGCCCCTCCTGTGCCCAGAGCCACTGTGTGTGCGTCAAACATGGTGCTGTGTAAACATCAGTGCTGTTTGTCCCTCAGGAGGTGCTGTTAGATATGAAAGAAACTCATGTGACGTGCACAGACAGGAACTCTTCACTGGTAAGACGTGTAGAAGCAGACCACTGTCATGGACGTGTGCATGTGTGCTGACCAGCTTTGTTCCCACAGAAACTCTTTGAGCACCACTACCCAGAGATCTCCTGTGTGGGCAGGTGGGCTCAGCCAGACTACACAGTGTTCGCCTTCTGTGTGGCGTAAGTTTTTATCCTYTTTAAGTTTGTTACAGGGCTCCACGCCTTGGTCAACATCAAATTCAAGGACCTTTCAAGGACTTTCCAGTACCAATTTCCTCAAATTCACACACCACGCGCAACGGCAACTACCTGCTGCTACCACAGGATGTTACCAATAAACAGGTTTAACATGTCAATTCAATGAAAAACTGAACATAAAAGTTGTTGAGTCAGAACCAATGAAATAAAGTGRATTAAATGTTTACATTCATATGTACAACACATGAACATGTAATCATGTCCTGGAGGTTCAGCAGCTCAGTTTGGGAGGAGGACATGTGAACATGTCCAGGAGGAGGTGTGGTGCTCTCACCTGGGCTCAGAAAGACCCGCCCTGCTCTGCTCTGATTGGATAAAACTATGACCATGGCTCAGGTTATTTGTTGAAAGACACGTCAGTTTACCATAATCCTAAATTATCCACTGTAAAATTGTACATATTTTTATTTTATTATTATAATTTTTTTAAAGCTGATGAAAATCAGTCGTGTGAATGGAGAACGTCAATCCCCCCCC